CTGTCAAAAAACTCAAAAACCTCAGGAACTCCTGAAACTGTGATTCTTATTAGAGCGCAGTGTCCACATTTCCCGAAAACCGTTCATAATTGTGAAAAGAAGCAAATTTCAATCCACTACTTTGTGTACTTTCTTCCTCCTCTCGAGAATGGGAAGATCATCGTCCTCGACATGAATAAAGTAGGCCTTCTCCTCCATCCTCCATCATCCCTCTTCGCTTCTTACCTCTTCGAAACGACCCTTTTTCCCCCTCTCAAAAACTTCAAAGAAGTCTGACCTTGTGTTTTTCCTATACTTACTCGAATCCTCATCCTCTTACTCATTTCTCTCTCTTGAATATAACCGACGACTCATCTCATTTCGGTTGATGTCTGAGGGTCTCTGAGGTTTACTTTTCAATCCACTCAACCTATTTTAGCATTGTTTTCGATTATTGGGGAAAGTTATAAGGATTTTGTCTAGCGGTGTTAAAAAAGATGTTTCCTATATGCTGTTTTGTTTGAGGTAGGGGGAAAAATCTCGGCAAATCTGGGGCGTTTTTGTGCTCCGCAGAGCAGGAAGCTCGGATTTTAGGTCAGCGAAAATTGAAAAAGGGTAGAAGACCCAACCTGTAACCCAAGGATGGTCATCCTTAACGGAGCAGGCAATAGTGTTTAGGAAGGTCTCACCACGATTCAAATTATTACTGTAGTTTTCTCTAGTTTAAACAAAAGAGAATTTATCGAATGAACTAAAAACTGGAGAATGTTCATCGTAAAACTCGTAATTCGCACCGTTTCGAAAAGCCTAAGATCCTACAGTAACATATTTTTTCGTGGCGAGACCCACAGGATGTGCCTTGCTTTGTTCACATTTGGAGCACTGAATTTGGTAGTTTGTCCCATTTCTATGGAGTTCAGTCTAGGTAAATCCGTCCGGGCTTCGAGAGAAAAAGAGCGACCGCAACAAATTTGACACCTTCTTTCTTATTTTGCCTTTGTTCATGTGACGTAATGGTCAATGCACTCGTTTTAGAAATTTTCAACGCAGTTTCTATTCCCGTAGCAGCCTAAATTTTTGTTTTTTTTTCCAAAGTTTTTGTGGCAAAACCAATGCTGCGCCTTCAAGGTAAATGAAATATTTTTCCAACTTTGCAAGAGATTTTTTTTCTCACGTGGGTTAGGAATTTTCTAGAAATTGGTGGCCTGAAAGTAGATCCATCTGCGAGTGGATTCTGAAATTTCCAGCCCTCACTGGAGCCTGAAAGTCTGAAAATCTTCATCTGAATTAGATTTTTCGACAGTGAATTAAACAAAAGGGGCGTGATCAGATTTTCAAATGAAGATTATCGGACTCTCAGACTTCAATGAGGGCTAGAAATTTCAGAATCCACTCACAGAAGCATCTACTTTCAGGCCACCAATTCATAGAAATTTCCTAACCCACGTGAGAAAAACCTTCCCTTTTTGTCCTGACTTGGAGAGGGTTGGGGGTTCAAAATCAGTAGTCTCCTATTTCTTCTATTTTTTTCTAGAAGCCCTCAATTACTTCACAGTTCATCACCTCGCTAATCAGTAGACACAGTGCCCTTTTCCGTTCCTAATTGTCTAAAACTCAAAGCACATCTTCATCCTCCATCCATCTAATCACCCCCTTCCTAACGTTTCATCAACCAAATTACCTCTTCTTTCTCCCTCCGAATCCTCATACTTCTTGTTTCGAAGCATATTGCAACACCCCCACCGGCACTGTTTCGCAATTAGTTCGGTCATCGATTGAGTCACTGCTACTCCTTCGCACCCTCAACCACCACTACTCTCTCATTATTCTAATTCACGGGCGTTGTCGTCGGAATGAACAGGCGGTGCGTGTGAAGGGAAGGAGACTGTCTAGCGGTAGGCTTCCAAGTGCCTTCTGATGCCTTCTGACAACTGGTCGTTGTCTAATTCTCTTCGTCTTCCACAATATTTCCTCTCAAAGTTTTTCGGTAGAGTCGATTAGCTTCGTGTCGGTGGGGTTTGGGGATATGTTCGGTTTGTCGGAAGACAAAAAAATGACTGCAGATGTTTTTTTTTGTTCTTTTTACAAGTATGTGTTATGAATGGGAGAGAGATGTTGCGGAAATGCTTAGGATAAGATTGTTAGAAGACTAATGGCCTTTTGGTTTGGACCTAGAATCACAAAGTTGTGACTAGAAGCTCATTTTCTATTGATTCAGGAGCTCAGTAACCCTAGTTTTCAATTCTGCTCTGTCCATGATTTACCTAGTCGGTGAATAATTTGGTCTCTGTGATCTTTGTCTACCTATTAGCATCATTTCCTTCTTTTCTGACACTCTAATGTGTTAATAGGGTGGAAAAGTGATTGAGTATCTCTGCATCTCCACTTCAGGAACTGATATTTTTGCTGCTATTTTTGCAGCTTTGGGGTCATTCCAGATGAGATTTTTCAGAAGCAATTTTTCAAATTTGGAATTGACTGAGTGTCTGAAATTTTTTTGACTGTAAATTTATCGGAAAACTCCTTTTTTCTAATTTGGACTGGGTAAGGCTAGAAAAATACGGATTCAAAACCGCGAAAAAGCCCATTTTAGAGCTCCAAATGACACCGTTGAATTAATCAGGATCTAGGTGAAGTTCTAACAGTATTCCCACAGTAAATTTTCGAGTTTTGAGCTTCCAAGGGAATTGAACTGGCTCAAAAGTAATTTTTTCCAACTTTTTGAGTTCTTTAATTATTTTACATTCTATCATCATGGTAAAAATCTTCAAATTAAACAAAGCATTTATTCACCTTAAAGGCACATAGTGGGTCTCGCCACGGAATATCGAAGGATTACGAAACGGTTCAAATTAAGGCCCCTTTTCCAAAAAATCAAGAACTACTACCTAGAAGCTATTCGATTAGTTTCATATTTTTATCTGACCGGAATACTTTCTTGGACAAATTTTTCGAGAAGTACAGTACTGTTTTGAACTTGGATGATATGATTCCCATAAAAATGGTTATGCTTCTTCAAGGTAAGCTCACAGCTTTTTTGATGCGATCGACAAAAAATATGGTTCTGCACCACTCATCCTGCTAGCTCTTGCAATGCACTGCTCCTTATCCTATACCCGAAGTAACCTTTTTCAAATTTGGGTGTGCCTTTAAGGCAAGTCTAATGCTAACCACTATTCGACCCTTTTGGATCTTAGAAAGCACGATCTTGTCAGAAATCAGAATCATGATTATGTCTCAAGATTCTGGGGTCAGGATCAGTCCTAGGACCATGATATGTTATACGTGGCTTTGAATGCTCCAAAACTCCTTGCAAATGAACCTCTAGAACCAATATTGGCTCTGATCAGTTTCACAGAATTACGTCATCGTTTATACTATCCCAAACTTCCAAAAACTCTTATGTACTCTTCCGCTTCAAGACACCCAACAGATTGTTGCCATCTGTCTGATATTCTTCTCCCCCTCTCCATCCCCTCCTCCTCCAGATCTTCCCTCTCAAAAAACTCCAGTAAATTCAACGATTCGGAATTGGTTTCGAAAGGCAAAAGGAGAAAAACGAAATCTGTTCTTCGGGGGGCTGTGAAGACGGCATGCAGAAACTACAGTAACCTATCATTATACACCCTACTACGGCACGTTTACTTTCCGCGTTACAGCTTCACGTACCTTTTCGAAGGCAGAGAGGGAAACGCCTTTCTCTCGCACCGATTTTCTTCATTTTGTACTTTTCGTTTCTGTATGTTCGTTTTGATTTTCTTCTTCTTCGTGTTACCCATTTACTTTTAGATGAGAGAAAGGAAACTGGATATGGGTTACAGATTGTTTGTTTTAAAACTTTAGGTATTAAACTAGGAGAAGGGGAAGTGTCTAGGTATAGCTTTTGTGGAGGTTGGATGGGGGTTCAAGGTGAAGAACCTGAAGCACTGTAGGCACCGAGGTACAACGGGGTAGGTCAGGTTCTGCAGGCCTTTTTCTCTGAAATTTATTTGGCAAATACTGTACGTTCCTAAAATGTTTGTTTTGTATAATCTAGAGATTTTATCGATTACTATAAGCAGTTTATACCTAGATCCTACCTTCTTTTTCGAAACACGGCTTCATCAGGTACCAATTTTTGTGGGCGTAGCGTTAAAGGCGCACTTCTCACGTTTTCTTAATAGAGCACTCATTTTCACTTTCCCAGTTGAACCTGCGTGTGTAAGTCCTTTTCTGCTTCCCGAATACAACCTGTTAGAGCAGTTTTAGGGCTTCAAGCTAGTGAATGAGTCTAGAAGAATTTTTGTGCATTCTGACGTGATGGTGTTAGTTGTGGTGTTTGCAGACTCTACACCATATCTTACGGCTCTAGATTTTTTTAATATAGGAGCTCTGAAAATCTGGAATCGCTCGAATAGATTACCGAAACTACGCGCGTTCTGACCGAAAACAGTTATTGCAGACGCTGCATCATACCTGACGACAGTTTAGTTTTTGAGCCCTATTATTCTGGCTTTATGGGTTGATGGTGCTTTATAAATCAGTTTTTTGGAACTTCTGGAATTAATTACCCAAAATATATAACATCCGTTGATAAATTCCTCTTGCCTGCAGTCCCATTTTATCCTATTTTTCCCAAAATCTTCATTTTCCAAAATTCTCCCCCGCCCTGCCCTCTACAACATGTTCCATCTTCTCTCTCATTTTCTCAATTCCCGTTTCTCAAAAAGGGCATTAACTCGGGGAGAGAGAGAGGGATTAGCATGTACAATACGTTGTAAAAAGTTCCTCCGAATGAACTAGTACAGTTTCTTTGAGAAGTGAATTGAACTTTGATTGAAACCGACTTGGGGAGGGAAGAAGGAGATGGGTTAGAAAAGTATGGGTATAGGGAAGATTGAGATTGAGATCTGAGAGCTTTAATTTTTAGCTCCGGTATAGATTAGTCCCGATTTGTAGCTTTTGGCTACATTTACGGCAGGTTGCAGAGAAAAGAGAGGAAGACACCATTACCTATATTCCCTCTGCCACTGACGCTGGTTGCGCGTCATGGCGCAGTGGCTAGCGCTGCAGTTTTTGAATTTCAGGCCACGGGTTCGATTCCGGTAGGCGGCAGATCTTTTTGTTTTTTTTTCCTTGAACTATTTTCCAACTTTCCTTCTTATTCCAGATGGATTACTGTACTAATCCATATCCAAAATTTTCACATCTACCGTAACCTCCTCCACTCCAAAAATAGTCCCAATGATCTCCAAAAAACCGCCCTTTGATACATCTGTTACCACTTTAAATTCAACAATTCCCCCACTCCAAATTTCTCGATTTCCGTTCCCATCTGCCATCTCACTCCGTTTTTTTTTCACATCCTCTCAATTTACGAGTGTCTAAGAGAGGGGTTGAATGTTCAATTTGACGGTCAGTTTCTTCTGTGATTCATTCAAAAAGAGTAGCAAATGTAATAATGGAGGAAAGAAATGAGGAGACGGGTGTGCGTTTCCATAAATAATGGTATAAGTATGTACACATGGCATGACCTTCTCTCGAAATGCTTCTCAGAACAGAAAGACACTATCCTACCCTTCTCCCCTCCCTACACCGTCTTTTTTCCCTCATTCCGAATTATAATTGACGGTGTCGGTGGTGGTGTCTTCTCTACTTCGGAAGAGGAGAGGTCGACGACCTGCTCGCCCCCTCGACAAAGTTTCTCCTTTACTTAGTTTCGTCATCATCATGAGATGGAGAAGCATCAATTATAAGTTTTTCCATTGATTTTTTGATTTTTTACGGTGGGAAAAATTGCATGGTTCGGCCAGAATCCAAAGTTAGGGCCGTCAAAATCATTTTTTTACCGTCGCATGATCTTCTTTGAGTGGTCTCGGCACGATTGATATGCCCAGAAACATCTGATTACTCGAATTAGGTTTTTCTTCCTTATTGTTTTAGCCTTTTCTGACAAAAGATAGAGAAGCTGTATTTTTGTCTATGCCCGCTTCCTGGTTGTTGGCTGTTGAGCTCGTGGCCTAGTGGATAGCGCTGTTGTTTTAGAAAAATGAGTCGCGGGTTCAAACCCCACTGGGTTCAGATCTTTTTTTTCTTTTTTTTATTATCAGGTGTTGACCCTCCTCTCACCTCCAAAATTATTTTTCGGTAAGTCCGGTGCCACCCGTGAGAAAGAACTAGGAGCTGCACTATTGTCTATGCCCTCTCTCTTTTCGGCGACTGTTGACCCCGTGGCCTAGCGGATAAAGCTGCTGTTTTCCAAAATCGAATCGCGAGTTCGAACCCCACCGGTGTCAAATCCTTTTTTCTTTTTCTCCAGAGCCAATTTCGAAATTTGGGAAGCTTTTTGACCCTCTTCTCCCCCATAGAACTATGTCTCCCAACAAAAAACCAAAGGAATGTTTCGAAAACGTTCAAGACCCCCTCTTGAAAAAAAGAGTGGCTAGATTAGTCATAAGTGGTTAGCCAACTTGAAATTCTCGAATCTTTTTCCCTCCCAATCTAGCAGAAAGAGATACATTTCTTTCTTGATGACCGTCCGTTTTCCTCCTCCTCTCATTATGGTTTTGCCGTTCACTTCATTGTTTTGAATCACCAACCAATTCAATTCAAATCGGTTTTCTATCCTTCAAGAACACGAACCACTTGTATGTGATTCATATCACATCCAGTCGAATCTTGTCCTCCCTTTTTTTTGACTGTCTTCTATACATCAATCCGGGTATGAGAAGATGGAATTGAAGGAGGGGAGAGGGAAGAAGGCAGTAACTTTTGGTCATGGTCTTTGAGATTTCAGCTACTAGTTTTTTCTGATTGGTCCCTGAAAGCAAGATTTTTTCGATTTCCTGGGTTCTGAAGATTTGAGATGGAACTCCAAAAAAGTCTGTGACCTGACGTGACGGTGTCAGTTCCAGTGTTTGCGGACTCGGCACCATACCTTACGACAGTTCATTTTTCCCTGTAACCCTGTCTTGTAGGTTCTAGGCGAATTGAATTTTTTTGAGCAAGTAGGCGATCATTGTCGCGGCCCCAGCTCCGCTGGAGCCACGACCTTTCTTATACAAGTCTGTTTGGTTCGATTCAGTGTTATAATTGTTAAGAGTACTTGTTGTGCCCTTAGCTTTTGTATTCACTCGGATAATTCATCGCTCAACTCAACTCAATCGCATCAATTCACTCGCTCCAGGCCTGCAGCCTTCCTCTCGTGAACGATGCAAGCGCGCCCCAGCGCACGCGATGACGTTGCACTCGCCGACCCGCTAATTTCCCTCTTTTGAACTCATTTCCCCCTTTCTCTCGTTCCTCTCTCTCACGCGCACTATTTCCTCTTGTTTACTCTTTCTCGAATGTTCTATAAGCCCCGCCCCTTGTTGTAGTTTACTAATTATTTAGTCTTCTCTCTGTTACAGCCGCTGGGAGGTGACCCGTTCCCTCTTCTCTCCCAACGGTTCCATTGTACTCGTCCTCACCTCATTCACTACATCATAACTTGTATTCTGCCACCACTGAACCGCCTACACCCATTGCTCTACTGTCCTAAGCCATTACTCCACCGAAAGGAATAAAGCAGTGATCATCAACACATTCCACGAAGACATCTACACTCAACACAAGCATCAAATACTAATCGGCCGACGCGGGGTCTCACCAGCCTTAACCGCGCCGCCACATGGTACATCGACCGGAAAGGAAGGAAAGAAGAAGACGATCGTCGCGAAATCGGATTTTTTTTTTCTGGAAAGAAGGACCCTGGTGATTTGATGCAACGGAAGATGTCCTCAGCGTGGATTCAGAAGGTGATTTTTCGGTAAGCCGGCTTCAGGTAATCTTTTTTCGTTCGCACTTGTTGCGCGAGCGAAGGAGAGCGCCTGCTGGTGGTTTATCGATCGGAACAGCTTGTGAGTTAGCCGCTGGAACCACTTGTTGTGGGAAAAGTAGCGAAACTCGCAGGCAAACACAAGAAGAGGAACAATCTCGTCATGCCAGGCCAAATTTTCGAAGGATTTCATCATAGCGAATTGTTTGCCCTCAGCGACTCGGATTTTATCGTCAATGACGCAATTATCGATTTTTCGGCGGCGCCACCAAGATGTCGTCGGAACGAGTCAACAGCAGTTCGCAGAAGATACATTCACTTCCCTCAGCTCTTCAACAGTCGGAAATGAAGCTAGAAGACGTAAGGAAGCCATCAACTCCGTCAAAAACGCCAGAATGATGCAATTTTTCGATGCAATGTGCGGAAAAGCTGGCGCGACAGGCGGAAACACGAAGAAATCGATTGAAGCTGAGGATATGAGGCTCAGAGACCGACGACTTGTTGTCGGAGGTGCTGTTTCTCTGTCCGAAGCTAGGAATCGTTTGCCGACGTCAAATTCGACGCTGTCGAAAGAGAACAGAAGAGGATTCGGAGATTTTGAGCAGAATCAACGGACCTGGAACATTTCTAGCGAAGGAAAAGAGTCGACATCGACACACTTGTTGAAGATTTCTTCCCTCATCCCACATCTTCAATCAATCCATCGGAAAGCCGATTACACCGACCTGAAGAGCCCAAAGAAGACAGAAATCCAAAGAAAATGTGCATGATTGGAAAACTTGACGTCAAGTCAAGCCGTGGAAGTCGGACGTCATTATGATTCGTGGATGCGAGATCGTGGCAATCATCGTGCAATTCGACAGGAGACAAGAGTCATCCAGCTCAACTACACCTAGCGTCAGCCCAGCAGCGATTGCGCCGATATCGGCGACCAGAGCCCTGAATCTACACAATCCAAATGGAGCTCCCCGGTAGTCGGTAACTCAAGCGCGCATAGGTTTAGGTCTCAAAAAACGCGATATTTTCGGTAAATAGTTATGAGCCTAGTTCATTCAAATCTAGTGCTCCATAGCTATATTTCACTTAACGCTTTCTGCGCAATCTAATCTTCAGAACATTACAGAAGGATTCAGACGAAAATACGCCGGTCCCCAATTCACGTATTTAGTTTAATACTAGGTTTAGTGAGTAAATCAGGTTAAACTGTCGTAACTTGTAGTCGCTCGCCACCTAATCCGAATTCGCAGCCCAAGCCTGGCCAGGTGGAAGGCTGTGGAGGAGGGTTTAGTCTGCTACCTAGTCTCCATTTAAGTACATAAGTTTAGGTAACTTTTAGGCCTTAGCTCGGGAAGTCCGATCAACTTCCTCTTCTCTGCGCTCTAGTCTTTACTTACTCTTAAGGTCAATTAAATGGTTCAGCTAGTGCTAAACCAAATAGGTAACAACTAAATACGTTCCCAGGTCAATCAAAGTATGGGAAATAGGCCTAATCGCAACTTTAGGCACACATTATTAGGGTTCCCATGCAGCTGTCGGACAGGACTAATTCCGAACCCCTAATAATACATTCACATCCCATTAGTCTTAACTTCTAGTCACCTAAGACCATAGCTATACGCCATTAGAAGTTTGGGCTGATGATCCTCGTGCTGAACGTCGGTGGACGGACGAGGATGCCAACGAATAACCTGTGATGTGGAGGCCCTCGCAACAGGGATAAACAAGCCGTCCCGCATCAACGGACGCCTCGTGATGAATCACGAGTCCCAAGCTTCTCCTACGGAACCAAGCTCCTGCAATCTACCCAATCTCCGGCAACGGACATCTGGATGAATCTACCCAATCTCCAATAAAGGACATCTGGATGAACCTACCCAATCTCCGGCAACGGACATCTGGACAAACCCACCCAACCTCCCGAATCGGACGTCTGGACAATTTCATCAATTCAAACCCAATCTCCGGCAACGGACATCTGGATAAACCAACCCAATCTCCGGTAAAGGACATTTGGACAAACTTACCCAATCCCCAGTAAAGGATACCTGGACAACCTACAAACCAGGAATACGGATGATAGTGAAGGCAGGGCAAGAACCTGAGTGGCTCCCAGTGGATCAGTAACCCCGCTTGTTGCGACGGTATACTGATTTATCTTGGTTTTGCTCAGATTCAGCCTAGGAACAGAACGGACCATCGTCACAGAAGTTCTTTGAGACCTCAGCTCGTGTTGGCCGACAGCTACAGATCCATCTCCAGAAATGCCATACCCCTGGATGTCAACAAAAACATCACCACACCTGGATCGCTGCCAGTACATACCTCACGAGCACAACTTCTACAGGAGTGGACATCCTTGCTTCAAACCCAAAGATCCATCTCCACATCTCCACAAGAAGTTCACAAAGGACGGAAGGACAGACCCAAGCTAGGCCCCAGCCAATTACCTTCGTCTCCGTACACCCCCAACCACCAATCATCAAATGATCACTTGCCAAGCAGAAGCAAATAGGATGCATGCACGCTGTCAGTCCTCAGTAGACGTCGTCAACAAGACACCAGACCTCAGTTAGGATCCAAACCCTTCGTCGATCAAGCCAATGGAGCAAAGCAACTCCAATAGGATAACAAAAAGTTCGAAGGAGGATTCTTCTGGCTCAAATATGAAGACGTCAAATACCAACAACAGGACAAGCTGCAGAAGCAGACCATGAAGATCGGGCCGACCATCCAGGAGCCAAGTTCAAGCTCCAGGACAAGTTAGAAGACGTTCGATCAAACGACAAGTCAAATAATGCATTCTGTGCTGCTTTGTGGTGACAAACGGGAGGACGCTTGTTGCGTCAAGAACGTTCTAGCCCTTAGCGACACAGAAAGCTACGAAAACCCAGGAAGAAGAGCCAGAGCAGTTGACAACGAAGATCCAGCCTTCATCAACAAGGATCACGGCAGGCAGAAGATCAGTCAGCAGAGGATTCCCGAAGCTGTCACAATTGCCATCAAGTCAACGATCAAGACACTCAAGCTGCTGTGTCCTCAGCAGCCTGGCTCCAAATCCAACAAACGATTCACTTGGGGAGAGAACGGCTACAAGCTCACACAGTCACTGTTCCTTAGGATCAAACACTCCAAGATGGACGTGGCAGAATCGTCGAATTCGCTCGTCGAATTTGTACACATCTCTAAGGAACTCAACAAGCTCGGAATCAACGTGAACGACAAAGATTACATCATCAGACTGGCCCATCAACCCTCAACAAGAAAGAAAGCCGAGATGTGGAAGTCGTCGTTCAAAGGAAGTCACATGCTCCAATAAATGATCCAAGAGCTCCGAAGCGTTCCCCTGGACTTACTCAAAGAAGTGGACTTCATGACCGAAGCGGTGGAACTAGACAGCCAAGAAGAAAATCAACTCAAGCTCGTCTTCATCAAGCTACAGGATTCAAAGGATTCTTCCACACGCCAAACAAAATCCAGGCG